TTATATTTCTTTCCAGCAAAGTGACAATATGTTGCCTCAAACACAATGTTGACTTACCTTAGAACAGATGTAGACATCATTGTTAATCTTATTCACGTTGAGTTGATGTTGTGGTCTAACGTTACCACACAACTTTATCCAAAGGAGACACTTTTCTCGGTTGAGATGTGGTTTAAAGTGTAAAAAATACACCTGGTCGCCCAGCCTCTCAGGATACCTTGTGTCAGAGTTGCATGTACCCCATGCACACCGTTTGACCATTTTTAAACTTCAAATCTCAGAAAAAGCTCATAAAACCGAACAAACTCAGACAGAGAATGTCCGAGTGTATGGGAATGGCTATACGCACTGTGATTGGCTCATCGCGTTTGAGGGCGGGACTTTCTGTTTCTGTTTGTCATCTATGCTGCTGTGTTCTGTTGCCGTGAGGTCTTTGCTGCTGCTCTCCCTGCCGTAGGCGTTCCATGTAGGCGCATGGAAGGGCAGAGAGGCCCCAGAACGAGCCATGCTGCCAAATATAATACTGCAAATGGAAATGAAGTTTCCTTTAACAAAAGTAGTCCTGACTGAAATTGGTTTTTGTAGTTTTTCTTATCTGCTGTGAAGGTTCAAGGTCAGAGGGATGTCATACATTGTAAATCCCTCTGAGGCAAATTGTGATTTGTGATATTGGGCTTTATTTTAAAAAATGAGTTGAACTGTTCTGTCTTTATCTGTCTGTTCTTTTTTTTCTTCCCTTCTCTGTCTTTCTTGTTTAATCTGTGTTTCACAGTCTTCACTCCTCCTTCACCTCCTCCACTGTTGCTGCTCTGCATCAGTAAAAGATGTATTGCTGAGGACCGAATTACTTTCATGTTTGTTTAGACTCTTTATTTCCTGTCATCAGATTGATGAATAAGATTAGGGATTTTGTTTTTAGGTCTGTAGTAGCAGCAGCAGTAGGTTACAGCTGTTTGTGTTGTGTGTTGCAGCTGCTCCGTACTGGGTGAAGGAGCCTCAGAACCTGCTGTACTCTCCCGGGGAAACTGTGCGACTGGAGTGCCAGGCTGAAGGCATCCCGACCCCCGCCATCACCTGGAGCATCAACGGTCAGCCAGTCACAGGTACAGCTCATTCTAATGTTTGCTTGTGTCCAGCCAAAGGTTCGGTTTCCTTGTATTATTTTTAGTGGTTGATGAGCTTAATCATATAATAAAGTATCCTATGGTTTAAAACTCTGGCTTAAAAACTTTAAATAAAGAAAAATCTTAACAACCCATCAAGAACATTAATTAAATTTCTCAGCTTCTTTCTATATCCTTCAGTATCTGTTCCTGCAAATGACTTCAGCTGTTTGTCCAAACGTACTTCTGTCCTGAGCTGCTCTGCTCCGTCTGGCTCTGACGCTCAAATGAGTCGATGTTTTTTTAATCTTAATGTGGACTGATCAGCACTTTTTAACAGCGAACTTTTCTTCTGGTTCACTTAAAGTTCACCTGTCTCGTAGTATTAAACAAAGCTTGATGACCACAGAGAGGCTTCAGGGAAGAGCAGAGATCATTTCCTGGCTCCGGACGGTCCAACTTATTGTCCACTATAACAGAGAGCCTCTTAAGCTCCTGTGAATCAGGGAGGATACTTGTCTTGAGACGGATGCACCAAGATCCTCAACTGACTCCCAGAGACAGAAAGGGAGGAAGGAGAGAAAGGAAGAAAGAAAGAAAGAAAGAAAGAAATGAAAGACAGACAGAAGGAAGGTAGGACTGAAAGATAGAGGTCAAGGTAAACTTTATTTTCCCAAAGAGGGAAATTCAAGGTGTAGAAGTACACAGTCATAAGAATATGACAAATATACAAGATAAATGAGAAAGAAAGAAGGAAGGAAATTGAAGCAGGAAGGAAATAAAGGGAGAGAAAAAACAACAAACGGAAGAATAGAAGGGAGAAAGCAGAACAAATAAAAGAGTAAAGGTAGAAGAAAGAAAGAAAGAAAGAAAGAACAAAGATATGGAAGGTTGAAAAGATGCACAAGAGAAAGAGAGGAAGTAAGGGAGAGAAAATCAAAAGAAAGAAAAAAGGAAACAGAAAGAGGAAAGGACCAAGGAGGAAGAAATAAAAAGAACAAACCTGGGATAGGAATGGAGGAAGGAATGTAAGGTAGGAAGTAAGGAGGGAGAGAGAGAGAGAGAGAGAGAGAGAGAGGTAGGAGGAAGAAACAAACAAAGGGAGTGGGGTAGAAAAGAGGAAATTTCAAAAGGGAGGAAAAATTACTAAAAAAAATACTGAAGTTAAAGAAAGAAAGGAACAAATGAAAGGTAGAAAGAAGAGAGACAGAATGAAAGAGAAAGAAAGGAGTGACAGAAAGACAGAAAGGAAATCAAAGAGGGAAGGAAGGAAAGAATGAGGAAGTAAGAAGAGAGAATGGGAAAAAGAGAAAGTAAAGAAGAGACAAACAAATGAGGAAGTTAAAAGAAAGGAAAGAAAGAATGACAGAAGGAAGGAATTTAAACTAGGAAGGTACGAGGGAAGTAGTGGAAGGAAGGGAGAAAGGAAATTGAGGAGGATGGAAAGAAAGTAAAGGAGGGAGGAATGAACGAAGAAAGTGAGGTAGGTAGTAAGGAAAGGAAGGAGCAGACAAAGGAAGGGATGAGTGAGAGAGAAATGAGTTCAGCTTCTGTCACAGCTGCTGCGTCTCCTGTTGGACGGCGGCTCCTTGGTTCAACATGTCTTTGTGTTCAAGCTGGGAAAGTTTCTGTTTGACAAACTCACAGTGTGTCAGATTGTTCTTCATCCTCTTCTCTCTCACCGCTCTCCTCCTCCTCCTCCTCCTCCTCCTCCTCCTCCTGACCGTGCAGAGGTGGATGCTGATCCTCGTCGGAGCATAGCAGAGGGCGTGTTGATACTGAGGGATGTTGAGTTTGCTGACACCGCTGTGTATCAGTGTGAGGCCACCAACAAACACGGCGCCATCCTCCTCAACACCTACCTTTACGTCGTAGGTACGTTCACGCAGCCGCTCTCCTCTCAGCTCGTTGTAACATGTGACTGGTTAGTGATGTATTGCTGTCCTGTGTGTCCCTCAGAGCTCCCGCCTCAGATCCTGTCCTCTGACGGAGTGGTGTACAGAGTCACTGAGGGCGGAGACGTCATGCTGCACTGTGAATCCTTCGGCTCGCCACGACCTCACGTCACATGGTGAGACACACACACAACATTCAGACTCTGGTGTGTGAGTACTGAGCACTGACGCCCTGCTCACACGGCAGGTTGCAAAATGCAAGATGCACCGCACGCCAGGCAACCACGCTATCACCTCCTCACCGTAACCTTCCTGTGTGATCAGTCTACAGTTTGTGTATCCTGCAGTAATCAGTGTGTAGCTGCTGCCATGTTGAGGCAGAGGGTGCTGTCTGTAGCTCTGGTTGAGGGTGAGAGGCTGTCAGCAGATAAACAGAGATCTGTGTGGGTACATGAGACCCTAAAAAAGAGGCTGGATCATGGGGAGTACCACCAGTTGGTCCAGGAGCTTCTCCTCCATCATGGACGTTTACAGGCATATTTTGACTCGGGGGCAGGGGTGTGCCGTATCATCTCGTTCAACATAATACCATTCTAATTTTTCATTTGATATCAAAAATTCATATCTTGATACTCACTGTATTTTGGCTTGTTGACACTGACATCAAACTGTTACAGCATGGCTGAAAGAGAAATTATTAGCGACTCCTTGGTGTTTCCAAAAAGAGGAGGTGCTTCAGTAGTGTGGAATAAACTGTGGCATCCTGAATGTTTTACTTCTCTTACTGCTCAGAGGGAACTCATTCAGCGGCTCCTCTGGCAGCAGCACAGCGTCTCTCCCTCTCCAACACAGTCTCACTCCCAAGTCGTCGATATCTGGCACTTGGACAGTGACTTGCGGTGTCACATATCGACAAAAAAAGCCGTCCTTCCACATTGGCATGATACGCGGCCATTTACACGGTGAAATTCTGAGTGGGGTCGGTGGACTTTCACTTGGGTGAGCGGTGTTTGCATCATGTAAGATTGCAAAGCCAAACCCTGTTCTTTTTTCCTAAACCCAACCACGTGAATTTGTTATTGAAGGAAAATTTGCAGTGTTGCACCGACTTAGTGCTTTTATTCTGAAAGAGACTTTAAACGTTAAATTTCCTGTGAAAACAGAAGTGTATTTTGAAAACAGACAATGCATGTAACAGGCTGAAGTTGACACGGTGTCAGAACATCATCAACCAATGCGCCCAGGGTACCTTGCATTGCATATTTCAACGTGGACAGTCCATGACCAAACATCAGTATGTGACGAGGTCACAGTGAGAATGTGCTGCCTTCTCCTCTCTCGCTAGTGATGTCCAAATGAAGCTTCATGAACCAGCAGTTGTATTTGCTGAAGCCACTAGATGGCGCTGTTGGTGTAATGAAAAAGGCTCAAGGCATGGCAATACAGTTTGGTTTCAACGCTTTGTTGAACAAGGAGCGCCAGAGTGGACCCGAAAAATAAAGAAAATGGTTCAGGAAGGGTTATTTGGCCATTGCTAATTGAAACCAACCTGCTCTGGTATCCCTTGAGCCTTTTTCATTACACCAAGTGTGCCATCTAGTGGGTTCAGCAAATACAACTGCTGGTTCATGAAGCTTCATTTGGACATCACTATGTCTCGCTGTGCGCACACAGGAGTCGGTGTCGTCTCGTAATGTAAACCTACGTGATGCACACAGCTCGACAAAAAACACAGCTCGACAAAAAAGTCCTCCGAGGAGGAGCAAGAAGGAGTCTCAGATCTCTGGGGCTGTGGAGGAGGAGGAGGAGAAGCTGGTGGAGTTGAGGAGTGAACGGGAGTTGGTGAAACACCAGCCAGCTAATCAACAGACGCTGAGCTGAGGCGACAAAATCCAAAATGTAAAGTTTGTATGTGGATACAGTACGTCGTTTACCTTTGTGGATTATATTGATGCCGCATTGACAAGAACACTGTCGTCACGTGACCTCTCTTATCTTGTGTTTAGTGTTATTTGTTTTTGCAGACACAGAGGGAATTGTTAATATGTCATGTTTCTCAAAGGGAGTTTGGAGTAATATTTTCCACCAGGAGCAATCTCATAATGAATCTAGTTGTAGTCTTATAAAGTGATTTTGCATTTTGATCCCCGGTCTTTGCAAAATCTCATGGTGTGTGACTAAAAGCTCACATTGTCTTTAAACGTGAGAGGGTGTCAGACTTTAGTCTTTTTAAAGTCTTTTTAAAGTCGTCTTGTGTGTATTAAGCATAAACATACCAGTTTCTGGTCTACAGCCCAGAGGCCAGCTGCACAAAACATTTTAAGTTAAGATTTTCTCTCAAGTCCTAGTTAAGGTTTCCCCAGAATAATGTTCACTTAAAGGGTTAGTGCACCCAAAAATGAAAATTCAGCCATTATTTACTCACCCATATGCAGTATTTATGGTTTTGTCCTTGTCTTGGTCTTATACTTAAGGAACCCCTGCCTCTGACTCTTATCTTAACTGCAATATGACTGAGTTTATGGTGACAAATAAAAAAAAAAACCTAACACACCCTCAGTAGAGTGTTCAGCGACCAGGAGAACCCGATGGTTACACTTTTGATTTTACACTTTGTATTCAACTGAATTAGTTTTCATTGTAATTTCTCCTGTTTTCTGGTATTTGGGATCAGATTTACTTTGTACTTTCTATGATTGTATTCCTCCCCTGACCTGTATGGTTTCCTTGTCCTCTTTTCTTCTGCCATTTTTTCCACTGACTTACTATGAGCAACTTTGTGAGACAATAACAGGCACTTAAACTCAAGTCCAAACACACACAATCTTCATTGAAACTTTTACTGCTGTAAAATCTCTTTCAACACAATAAGTGAGTTAACGTTTTTCCTTAACTATAGAAACCCTTGAAGGGATTCTGTGCAACTGAGTAAGTCCCTCAGCTAAGGAGAAATTAAGCCTTAAGGCTTCATACTTAGGGTGATTTGTGCAACTGGTTCCAGGTATTTACTTTTAACACAGCGGCGTCCTCTGGTGGCTGCGTGAAAGAATTGCACTCAGTAGCACGAGACTGCTGGATCCATGTTTGATGTTTTTATGATTTAAGTGTTTCTACACTTCTGTGACTTGACTGATGACTTTCAGCTGGTTTGCTTTTTCATTTTGGAGCCAAATTCCTCAGATATCAGAGGACAAATCCCTTCTGTATGACACTGAAGTCACATCCTGTGTAATATTTTCTGGGAATCGAGAGGGAGTTTAATGACACGGAAAGGAGGTTATGTAAAAGTGATGTGTTTTAAGGCAGATTCTGATATCTCCTAGACTAAATCTAAAAAAAAGACTGTTTATAAGGCAAAAAGAAATGAAATGACAGGAAATTAGATTTCTTTAATATACTTAGATACAGAGAGGGTTAAAATGACCAAAACATAAAAAGATAAAATGTGATTAAAGCATTAAATCAGAAAATAAAAAGTTACATAATGTTTGTGTGAGGGCTTTCTCTGCAGAAACAGGCCACAGGATTTGCATCATGCATCATGCACAGTCTGCTTTCTCTCCAGGTGAGAGGTTGTTTTACAGACCACAGACATTAGAAACAAACAGATGGATACTGCTTCTCTTTCCTGTCTGGCTCGTCGTGTATTGATCGTCTTCATCCATCCACTGATGAGGCAGGAAACACACTAGCATTGATCGAGGGATTCACTGCTGTTGCAGTTGTATTAATATCTGGGTGTTTGATGTTGGAGTAAAAGACTCAGGAGGGACGAAGCTGCAGCGACACCTCTCATTAATGTATGTACGGATCAATATGTGTGTGTGTGTGTTGTCTGTAGGGAGGGTGGGGACAAGCTCCCCCTGCTGTCGGACCCTCGTGTCTCCCTGCTGACCAACGGGACCATCGAGCTGTCGGGGGCCAGTCACGATGACACCGGAGAGTACACCTGCTCCATCAAACACTCCAACATCTCCATCTCTGCTCACCTGGAAGTCTTCAGTGAGTCTGATATCATATGTACTGTACATACAAGTCATTTTTTTACAAGTCCAAGTTAAGTCTCAAGTCTCTAATGGTTGTAATGAGTGTTCCATCACCTGCTGCCGTCCTGTCGGCTTACAACACTGCATGAAGTACCAGCAATGAATCCTTCAAAGTTTAAAACTGTATAAAATAGCAATAAAACGTGTCACTTGTTTTTCAATAATGCTTAGAGCAGTGGTTCCCAAACGGTGCGTTCACAGGTCCGGTCTGAATGGACCGCAAGTGACTCGCAAATGTCTCAAGTTTGTAAAAAACACACTTTACTTCAAAGTACCGTGAATTACCAGCACAAGCTTTTGTTGCTACGTTACAGCAGCAAACTAGCTCGACAACATGACAGAACGCAAGTATGACGCTGAATATTAAACTGTGTGGACCTTGAACTAATGACCGAGGAGAAATTTGGACCCCGTGGCTGGACCAGTAGGGAACCAGTGGGTTAGAGTGCAACTGTATTTTATAACTACACTGGGTCTCCAGCTAATCTTACTGTATAATCTACTGTAAAATAACATATCACTCTCGTCATAAAATCAAGCTGTCTGCAGCAGAAAGATGCAAATACTTTTGAAATTGGTGCTTAAAGGTCAGAGACAACAGAGATAAAGGGCTGTGGCATTCACTTTGTCTCAAGTGGTAGAAAGTGGACCCTACAACACAGAGCTGATAACGTACCTACCAGCACTCAGGCCCAAGGGAAAGAGCATGAACATCTGAGGGAGGCTCTAAAAACTTGTGGTTATCCCAGTTGGACCTTTGTGAAAACAGCAGCCCGTTCCAGAAAGAACAAGGTGGATAATGAAGAAAAGACCGTCACTGACACACCATTGGAGCACTAACGAACCAGTGACATCATTGGCCTTGTGAAGACCTCCTCAGAGGTTAAATACCTGGGTTGTTTCCACACCAGTTTGTCAGACTAGTTCCAGCCTAGTCCGACAAGCATGAACTGATGAAGCCTCTTGGATAAGAGGTGAAACATCTTCTAAGACAAAACTAAGTCCAGTTGCGTTCAGTTCAATCGCCTTGAGATAACTATGACCTGGATAAATGAGAATATCCACAGGCAAGTGGTAGAAAACCTACAACTACCAGAATGCACTGCACCGGACCGGACCAATAGATGCCCCCACTGGTGGGTGACACAATGCAAACTCGTCTGTATGACACAATGGCAGCCGGAGTCTTGTTTTTTATCTGATCAGCTCTGATTTGTTTTACTGTTTGATCTCAGTTTTTTCAGCCTCTGTTTTCACTGTGCAGGAAACAGTATGGCGCCCACTTCCTGTTTACAAGCTCTCATGCTGCGTTGGTTTTGTACTCGGAGGTCAGAAGTGGGAATGACGTCACCTCCGAGTTGACAGTTTTTGCATTCTAGTTGACGACAGTGGACAAGTCGGAAAAAAACATGGACGCCCGCAAGAAAGCCTCTGTTGCCCTTTTATAGACAGCTTCAAACCATCATGCACTCCAACTGATGAACGCCGCAGATGAGGCTGACCTGATGTGAAACAAATAAGATAAAATTGCTATAAACAGTACTTTAGCAAGAGTGTTGACTCATGTGACCAGCAACCATCTTGAATTCCTTAGTCGGGGTCGATGCGGTTGCTCCGAGTTTCCGAGTTGGAAATCTGATCTCAGGGTGTGTTTGAGTTTAAACTTCTGACTGGGAACTGGGAATTTCTGACCTCCGACTACAAAACGAACGCACCATCACTTCTACAGCTACACACGGCACTAAAATGTGTTTCTGAAAACCTTTCAGGCGAGAAATAGGCAGCACAGTGATATGATATTGGTTCATGAATAAAACAAAATAAAATAAATAAAGAATGACTGTTAACAAGTTCCAAACCGTGAGACAAAGTCAGTCTCAAGTCTTTTGAGAGCAACTCTCAAGTCTCAAGTCACTGTGTGTATGATTCGAGTCCAAACCACAGACTCAAGTCCCCATCTCAGGTTTATAATAAAGTACAGATCAGCTCTGACAGGGCAACTAAAGCAACCTGCAGACTGCACAGACGGCTTTTAATAATGACAAGATGAACAGTGGATCACCGATTTCTAAGTTCTTAATGTCATTAGAAGTACTGATATGCTTTTGTTATATAAGTTTACTCAGACGTTCTAAAGAAGTTTCTAAAATTTAGAGTTTTGGCAAGAATCATTTTTCTGAGGGTAGCAAAGCTGCAGAGACATCATTTTTACTCACTGGTCACTGAAATCAATAAAATTATTTTAGGATTTAGAATTAATGAGTCAGTTCACAAAAGTACAGTCTAAACAAACATGGCGCCTCACGTGCACACCGTGACCAGTCCTCTATCTTCCTGTTCCCGTCAGATCGAACACAGATACTGACGGAGCCGCAGCACTTGCGCACGCTCAGAGGAACCAACGCTCTGCTGGACTGTGACTTCTACAAAGACCCTCAGCTGCTGCAGTACCGGATCATCTGGAGCAAAGACGGACTGGAGCTGCAGGAATCGTCACCAGATGACAAGTAAACACACACACTGAGATGTTTCAGGCCACAGCAAAACTAAAGCATGTTAGTATGAGGTCATATCATGTGGAAGAGATGAATCTGTCCGTCTGATCCAGAGGTCAACTGGCGCCAAAATGCCACAATAAAATCATCCTCAGTTTTATATTAAAATGATGGGAATGTGTATGTGTGTGTGTGTGTGTGTGTGTGTGTGTGTGTGTGTGTAGGTACACTATCTTTGAGAATGGCACCTTGAAAGTGACAAACGTCCACCCAGAGGACAACGGGGTGTATTCCTGCGAGGTCAAAACTGACCTGGACCGTGTGAAGGCCAGTGGCTCCATCACTGTCGTAGGTACGTCATTGTTTGTGTGTGTGTGTGTGTGTGTCTGTGTGTCTGTGTGTCTGTGTGACAGTTTTCACACTAACAGTTTTGTTTCTGACCCTCAGCGCGGCCGGATCCTCCCAAAGATCTGTTTCTGTCTGATATCGAGGACCACAGCCTCACTCTCAGCTGGATCCCAGGACACTCACACAACAGCCCCATCATAGGTACTGAACACACACACACACACACACACACACACACACACACACACACACACACAACTTTAGCTGCAGTTTGACAATTCCATTCTGTGAGCTAACAGTGACGTTTTAAGTGAAAATAGAAAATCGATTCGAATCGATTTCACTGAGCAAAACAGAAAGAGGAGAGTGCTTTTGTTTTCCCCAATGGTTATTGGTATCTATCCTCAGATACCAAAGATCACCTGTTTTCACATCTCCATCACAGACTAAATTGGGTTCATAATAATCTTTACATTAATACAGATAGAGTATTAGTTTTAATGCACTGATTCAGCATCCTACGTATGTAGCCAGGCTATGTAGGCTCAATATGATGTTACAGAAATGTCACTGACCAACAATCTGTTGTTCTTTGAGAGGCAGACGTCCCAGTTAGGGACTGTTCTTTATTTATCAGAGGAGGGGCGTGGCTAGAGTGTGACTTTGTTTTATTTTGACCCTCCCTGAGTGACTGGAGGAAAACCCATGACCCTCCCTCCTCCATAAATGAGTTATTAGATATTTAAAACTTACCCTTTGATGTTTGAAAGTTAAAAGTTGAAGGTGAAATCCTGGAGCTGAAAAAAGTTTATTTAGTTTATTTTTGGCCAAACTGCAAATGAGACGTACATTTTAAAAAAAATCCAAAGATAATTTCTGTTTTTACAGTTTATGGCTGATAAATGGGGATTTTTTGTGATTTTTGGAAAGCATGTTTGCTTGAAAAATTACAACCATTTAAAGTCTTATGTCCCTCCCCTAAGCCAAAATAAAAATCATAAGTCCCCCTCCAATGCTTAAAAAGTTATTTGACATGCTGCCCCTTGACAGACGATTTTGCTTTTGGGTCTCTGAATGGCTGGGTTACCTGCACAAAGGTCCCGGTCCCGACATTTTGCAGGAAGTAGTATTAACATTGTCTGTCTTCTTCTCTCAGAGTTCATCGTGGAGGCCCGGGAGGAGCAGCACTCCGAGGAGGGGCAGTGGAAGTGGGAGGAGTGGAAGAAAGTGTCCGGGGAGTTCAACCACTTGGAGCTGACCCTCCACCCCTACTGCACCTACCGCTTCAGGGTCATCGCCATCAACGAGATCGGCAACAGCGACCCTAGCAAGCCCTCAGAGCACCGCAGCACGCCGCCAGCTGGTAAGTGACGCCAGACGCCGTCTGTAAAGTTTGGATTCTATTTCCATGAAAGCTGCGTGATCAGAGGTCTGATGGCCACATTTATCTCAAACCAGGTAATTGTCAAAGGAATAATTCGGCATTTTAGGAAATCGTAACTATTCTCACATATAAGAGGGGTGTCAGTCTTGTCATCTAACTCTCAGGAAGAGAGCAACATATATTTATCAGATGAACTCTTTAATGGTGTGTTTTCAACGTATCGTCCTCTCTCTGTCTCCTTCCTCCAGTCCCTGACAAAAACCCCACTGGTGTGCGCAGTGAGTCCATAGACCCAAAGACTCTGATCATTACCTGGGATGTGAGTACTTCAGTCTGTCTACATCTGTGAGTGAGAGGCTCCTGATACGTGCATTTACGTTATATTGCTGTTTGTCTTTGCAGGAGATGGACAAGCGTTTGCATAACGGCCAGGGCTTCCAGTACAAGGTGTATTGGCGGCAGGCTGGGGGGGCGGATGTCCGCTGGAACACCGCCGACGTACAGTCTCCGCCATTCATGGTAAACAACACAGGAACGTACACGCCGTTTGAGATCAAAGTCCAGGCTGTCAACTCACTTGGAGCAGGACCGCCACCGCGGCCTGAGATCGGACACTCTGGAGAGGACGGTACGCCACCTTTGAACACTCTGATCATTTATCGCTGTGATGGGAGGATGTTCTACACTACTGAGCCCACGAGCACTCAGTTACAGTGTGACCTGAAATTAAATCATCAACAACGTTTCATTTAAAAAGCACTTACACAAAATCAAACATCGCTCCTTTCACAATCATTCACGTTAAACAAGTTTCACAGGCTGTCTGAGAGCACAGAATATCAGGAAACACACGGTCAGATATGGCTCACTCAAACCTCAAAAATATAATCTAATAACACTAACAAGAGCAACGCGCCTCACTCAGAGCTTCATCAAGCTCATGAAAGTGAGCTTAAATATGCACAAACACTTTTTGTAGTAATGAGAATGAGAGTGGAATATGTGAGGCTCCAAAACAGGCAATCAACATAGGTACAAAGTCATTAAAAATGGTGTGCAACATGGATCCCATCTGAGACGCTGTGTAAAATGTAAATAAAACCAGAATGCAATGATTTGCAAATCATTGTTGACCCATATACAAAATGAATTGACAGTATATACTATTAACAGTTAAATAAAGTAGAACAAATTAAATATTGTTTCACAGTAAAATATGAAAAAATTACGAACAAAAAATTGAAAAAAATTAAGGAAAAAACGTCCCTAGAAACAAAAAACAAAACACTAAAACAGTGGTTGAATACATCGTTAGTGCTAATATCGTAGGCAACTGGACTTGCTTGCGTTGCCTTGCGTCCAGTTGCCTACGATATTAGCACTTATGATTACCATGACCTGGATGACTGAGAATCTTCTCCGACAAGTGGTTTAGTACAGTTTTGAACACAACCTATCTGTAACTGGAGTCCATGAAATCTAACAGAGGACTCTAAACTTGCAAGGGAGTTCAAGTATCTTGGGGTCTTGTTCACGAGCGAGGGTAAAATGAAGCGTAAGATGGATTGGTGGTTTGGCGCAGTGTCTGCAGTGATATGGGTGCTGTGCTGGACCATAGTGGTGAAGTAGGAGGCGGGTCCAAAGGCAAAGCTTTCAATTTCCTGGTCCATCGACGTCCCAACCCTCACCTATGGTCATGAGCTCTGGGTAGAGACTGAAAGAATGAGGTCAAAGATAAAGGCGGTCAAAATGTGTTTCCTTCATAGGATGTCTGGGCTCGGCCTTAGAGATAGGGGGAGGAGTTTAGACATCTGGAGGGAGCTCGGAGTAGAGCCGCTGCTCCTTTGCGCCAAAAGGGTTCAGATGTGGTGGTTGGGGCATCTGATCAGGAACCTCCTGGGCGCCTCCCGCTGGAGGTGTTCCAGGCACGTCCAACTGGTAGGAGGCCCCGGGGCAGACCCAGAACACACTGGAGAGATTATATATCTCATCTGTATCATCTGGAATACTGTAAGTTAACTGAGTGAGTCACCAGTCTCTGGTGTCACGCTGACTCTGTGAATCAAATAAAATTAAAATTGTGTCTAATAGTACAAAAGACAAAAGCTTTGGACTGCGGGTGCATGTTCTTTCCCAGCATCTTCCTCCCATTTTCTACACAAATGAACGTCTTCATGTCTGAGAAGATATGAGACAAAAACTCCCTCTGACTAAATGCAGCGTCTGTGTGAAGGAATTTATTAAAAATGTGTCTGTAGTAAATCATATGTAGAGGCTAACGGTTCACTCACCCTCTTTATTCAGGGCACCACATAGTTCTTGTACCAGAAGTGAGTAATTACATCCCTCATTAAAGAGGTCAACATTCCCATCTTCAGTCCGAGAATCTGGATATTAAAAGACTGAAATTATCCTCCAATAAGACGGCTTCAGGCTTGTTCTGCAAAAATGTCAAATCAAATGACAGGCGTGACAAACAGTGAATGTTGTGTTGTGATCGTGTTTATGGTGGAAAACAGGCGTTCTGCTGTGCAGCCTGTTCATCGCTCTGAGTGATGGACAGACAGATGTTCTATAACTGCAGTTCAGCCTAACATCACCACTGACATGAGGCTTATCAGCTCACCCTCCTCTTCCTCTCTGTCTCTCTGTCTCAGTGCCTGAAGAAGCTCCCACTGGAGTCACAACAACTGTGATCAACAGCACCGTCAGAGTCAAGTGGAACGAAGCCAAGAATGTCCGAGGTCTGCTGCTGGGATACAAGGTACCAGTTATTATACCAACTCAACTCAAGAAGAGACAGCTGTGCTCTGTGTTGGCTCATGTCACACATATACTGCTACTTACAAAGTATATATGAAAATATATGATGTGACAACATGTGACGTATACTGCATTAACAGAATAGAACATATTTTCATGCAGAGTTCAACCGTGAGCCAAGGAAGAACTGATGACGTGCAGATTGCACCTCCATGTGGCCACTTTTAAAACTTTGTGCTTGTATTTGTTGTGTTTTATTGCTCGAACCATTTCAAGATATAACCACCTCAGCAGGTTCAATAAATCTGTCAGCCGAAAAAACAAAACAATTCTTACTCACCTATAATGCCCTATTATAATCCACAGACCAATAATATTCCAACAGAAACAGTCCTCATATGCTCACAAAGGTCCAGGTGATCTAAATCCAGCAGAATATTTAGTCCAAACACATCATCACATCCAGAGATATCATTTCAAACGTTCATATTTCTCCATGTATGATCCATAATTTCTCCTGTTTGCATGTAAATATGCCGACTGCTTGCTGTGTTGCTTCTCGGGTTTACCAATTAACAACCAGTGACCGGCCCAATGGCATATGGGTCTTGTAGTCAGTCACACTCCTCACCTCCACAGGAGTTTTTAACTCTTTCTTGGCACTAAACTGTTATAATGCACATAAATGATCAACAAATGGCTCCTCTGTTGTTTTGATTGCAAAAGTCTTTCTTATAAAGTTAGGTTCTCTTAAAGTGTTTTTATACACATTAAGTTTCTTAATAGACATTTGTGTCTGTGTTGGTTAGTTGTTCACTCATATTCACACATTCAGTTCATGTGTGGTTAAAAAGCACATCGACACAACCTCAGAAAAACGTGTGTAAAATGTTTATTCTCTGTGATATTGTAATCCACTTTGAATTTGGACAATGTGAGGCTTCATGGTATGGTTCCACTGTGTTTACCAGCTAATACCTCCCAGTTCTAGTCATCTGAAGCTTATTTTTCCAAGAAAATTTTCAGGCGAAGATTTGTGTGATGAAACTTACAGTGATTTTAACAATTTGGGAAAATACTTGAGTGTTACCCTTCAAATGAGGCCATGCATGGACATGTGCTAAAAATGGAACAAGAACAGTTTTCAGTTGACTTTGGGTAAGACTTGAAGAGGTGTTTTAGGTGACTTTAGGTGATTTTCATAGGATGATGAAGACGTTTTAAAGCATATCATTTTGTGCAGTGTGAGGTATTTTGTTTATTCAGATGCAAAACAGAGAAAATGTTCACATTTTCACGTATCTTTCCTCTCTTGCAAGGAGCACATGTAACATAAATAATTTCCCCTTGGGGATCAGTCAAGTATTTCTGATTCTGATTCTGATTTAAAAAGCTGGAACCAGAGGATATTTGATATTTTTGCTTGATAAAAGACTGAGGGTGCTTTCACACCTGCCCTGTTTGGTTTGGTTCAATTGAACTCAAGTTAGTTTGGGCAGGTGTGAACACAGCAATCACACTCAGGTGTGCACCAAAACAACCAGACCGAGACCTTCTTGAAGAGGTGGTCTCAGTCTGGTTACAAACAAACTGTCTTGCGGTTGAGAAGGTGTTCCGACCTGGATGTGAAGCAACTGCAGTCACATGACACATTGTTTGGGTTAAACATGAGCATGTTACAGTCCTGGAGGATTATTAATGTGCACCTCCTCCTGTACTGCCTTAATATGCACATTCAGCACATCCAATGCATCAAAACATTGTTTTCTAGTTGGAGCCGCGCCTCGTTTTCAAACTGTATGATTTGACTAAAATGAACAATGACAGCAATATAGTCCACGATGAGCAGCGCTAAAATCAACCTGCGTAGTTGTCCCTCCATTGTGACATTAGAAAGTGTCACATTTATCTTGCAAGTGTACTCTTCTTCAACGTTTGCTTTACTTCCTGGATTTTTCCCACATGGAAATTCTGACCAATCAAGAGCAGCTTTCTCACACAAGGCATTTGATCTGGTCCTCTTGTAAATGCTGCCGTGAGAACACGAACCAACTCTAGGAAATTATACAACTTTGGAACAACATGAGCCCCTGATTCAGACCAGAGGAGACCACTCTAGGTCTGACAGAACCCTAAAATAATTAATTGCTTGTGTAAAATCCCCAGCAGCACTAAGGCATCTGTCATTCTTGGTTGAGCTGCACCTTCACTTATTTTTGTCTGCCTCTGTGTCAGATCTACATCAGGAGGATGGGACCTCATGGGGGTCGGTTGCGGAGGTCTCTCGGCAAAGTGCACCACGAGAAAGAGGACAGATCAGAGCGTGGCAAGGACAGAGACAGGGGGAGTCGGGTGGTGGTGGTCCACGGCATGAAGACATCAGAGGAAGTGACGGGGCTGCAGCTGTATTCTCAGTATGAGCTGTCTGTTGCTGCCTTTAACAGCAAAGGAGGGGGGCCTCATTCCCCGCCGCACCACTTCAGCACCCCGGAGGGAGGTGAGTTTAAATTAAAGAAGTTACAGGAAGAGACTGAAGATGCATTCATCAGATCTGCTAACTGGTGTGTGTGTGTGTGTGTGTGTGTGTGTGTGTGTGCAGCACCTGGTCCTCCTGCATCGTTGACATTTGACAGTCCTTCAGAGAAATCGCTGATCCTCTACTGGACCCCTCCAGTTGAACCCAACGGCGTCCTGCTGGGATACATGGTGCAGTATCAAGAGGGTAAGGCTGGCAGCTGTACACAAGTTACTGGGGTGGGAAAGAAATTATATTTAATTTCAATAAAAAAAGAAGGATGGAATTGTTAATATTTTCATCAGATCCTCCATTTTACTGCCTGCTTTTATCAAGAGACCATCTTTCCAGCTGTGAAATAACTTCTTTAAGCTGAGTACTTGAGTAAAAGCACAGGTTACACTGGAGCTGACAGCTTCCTGTGTGTGTGTGCTGTGTAGAGGTGGAGAGCAGAGACAGCCTGCTGCAGATGGAGATCATCAGCGATCCCAGTGTGACACACATTATACTGGACTCTCTGGACCCCAGCAGCTACTACATCTTCAAAGTGATTGCACGCACCGCCGCCGGAGATGGACCTCCCATCACACGGAGGGGCGCCACCCTGCTGGACGGAGGTGAAATTACAGTGATTTTTTTTTTCACTTCTTTTAAAACACAACTTTATTTATAGTTCTCAGTCATCAGCCTCTGCCTGTCTCCTTCCAGTTCCTCCGTCCAACATCAGCATCATCTCCAGTAACACGTCACTCAACCTGAGCTGGGTGCCCGGAGAGCGGGACAGGAACCACGGCTTCATCATCCGCTACATGAGGAAGAGTCGTAAGAAAAGGGTGGAGGGAGGGAGGGAGAGGAGAGGAGAGGAGAGGAGAGGAGAGGAGGAGAGGAGAGGAGCTTTTACTTCAATGCAGAATGACTCAGAGAGAACAACAGAGGAGGAGAACACAGAGAGTGAAGTAGAGAGACGAGGACGCTATCATTAATTATTTATTAATTATTTATTAGGATCCCCATTAGCTGCAGCCGAAACAACAGCTATTCTTCCTGGAGTCCAAACCAGACACAGTACTACATACATGACATACATAATCACTGACACTAATACATAATATGTGCTCATAGATTTGACCAATTGCATCGTTTCCTGCTCGTCACTGCTGCTGTACGAGGTGAAACATCAACATGTCGACAGAAAAACAAGATGTTTGATAGAAACGAAGAAGAAGAGGAGGAAGAGCAGACGTGGAAAATGTCTCATTTATGACAACTTTCGTGTGCATGTGTGTTTCTTTGCTGCAGTCGGCGCTAAGTGGGAGGAGTCAGAGGTGGTGAACTCCACGCAGGGTTTCTATTCGCTGAAAGGCCTCCAACCAGGATCTCAGTACCACCTGATGATCAAGCACGAAAACGACACCATGTGGGAAGATGTGAAGTGGACCATGGGACCAGGTGTGTGTGTGTGTGTGTGTGTGTGTGTGTGTGGACACACGCCTTAATGTGTTGCAGAGCTAATCAAGTATAGGCGATAAACTGGATTGATTTTAAACACTTAAAGAGCAAATTGCAGGTTAAAGTTTTTACAAAGTTGTTTTTAACCTTGTGTGAAAATGACCATGTGAAAAGTTAATATAGTTAATGCAGGATTTAATATAATAACTTTTGTTTTCGAACATCGCGTCATATTACGTAATGGGAGGGAGTCAGTCTCCTCAACTCTGTCTCAGCTAAGTGCACAGTAGGTGGTAGTGAGTCTGAGCGGTCGTGATATAGTGAGTTGGTCTGTTTTCAGTAGTTTAATTCTGCATTTATTTATCATCATCATCATCATGGTAAATTATTGTGTTTGTGCTGCCTGCCCAAACTCCAACCTGTCAGGACATCGGGTCCACCGTTTTCCTAACAGGAAAAGGAACGGTGCTATCTTTTGTGCCTGGGTGCATTTTGTGCAGGCGAAGAGACGGGACTTCACTTCAGCTTCTGTTTCTGAAAACGCCGTAGTATGTGGCGCTTATTTTAGACTGGAGGATTATCATCCCAGCAATATGATGGAGTTCAGGATGGGATGCCGATGCCAGGAGCGGGTGAGACCCAATGCTGGCATGGTTCCTTCAGTGTACGTATCTACAAGCTAACGCCGGTCACTGACCAAGACACCTGCCCAGTCCTCCACTGGTTCTCCTCGCACTGCAACTGAATCTCTCTCCTCTGAACGAATCTCTTTGACGCCTAACAGGCTCGTAATTATAAGGCTGTGGTCCATCATATTCGTATAAATACACATTCACAACCTCTTCAGTGTCACAACTAGCATTAATATCCATTAATTTTCCTATTGTTCAAATTGACCGCACTTCCAGTTTAGCTTTTTATGATGCGGAAGTAAAATTCTCTCACAAAAACGACACCAGAGGTCGCTGTAGTTTCAAATTCAGATCCTACATCATTTTCCTACACATTGATTCACTGGGGTCTCCATCCTGCAATCTGCTCTTTAAAGTGTGCACTGTGCAGCGGGTTTATTTAAGAAAATAGAAGTATCAGATTGGGACTCGGTAATGGCCGATCATCCTTAGGACATCCTTAGTGTTAATCATTCACTAATGAATCTCTGTCTCTCTCAGTGCCGTCAGAGATGCCCGGAGGCTTCGCCACCCAGGGTTGGTTGATAGGACTCATCAGCGCTATCGTGCTGTTGGTGCTGATTCTGCTCATCCTCTGCCTTATCAAACGCAGCAAGGGCGGCAAATACGCAGGTGAGACAAACAACACACTCACGCATGTGCAGACTTTAATCTGCAGTCAAGAGTCTGATGTTGAGGTTTCTTCCTACAGTGAAGGACAAAGAGGACAAGGAGGTGGACTCTGAAGCTCGGCCGATGAAAGATGAGACCTTCGGAGAGTACAGGTGAGTCTGTCCTCTCCTCGAGTCAGAGGCGCCAATTTGATCACCCTGGAAACGTGAACATTAATACAAAGACTACAAACTGTTCAAGGGCATCACAGTATATTATTATGTTAAATCGGTCAGTTTATTGCACAGTGCAAATCTTAAACAATAATAGGGGACTGTCCAATTTTAAAAATATAGCGGAAACCAAGCCCGGTTCTAGGCAGGCACATATGAGGGGGCAGTCATAAATGTGAAGGGGGCATCATGCTCCAGCACATTTTTGCCATAGGTATCTGAAATTAATATGAGCAAATGTGGAGAAATTGTCAGCTGTGAGCTAGACATCATAAACTTGCGACCAAGATCACATTTTTCGCTCCACAAACATAAAAACTATATGTCTGCGTTTTGGGCGAGTGTGTCTCTCTGCTAGTATGATCAGATTGACGATTGGATCAACGGTTTGTGAATTAAAGGGAGGAGTTTGACACATTTTAAAGCCATCTCAATCTGCCTGCTCTCACATCTTTTCTCTCTCTCAGTGACAGACTCAGGATGTTTGAAGGGCAGAGGCGAAAAGGAAAAGAGGGCACCTACTACATGACATGGGGCCCATTGGTGCACAAAAAAACTAAATTTGACCCCCTAAACATGCTCAAAAACTCACCAAAATTGGCACACACGTCAGGACTGGCGAAAGTTTTGATCAAATTAAAAACTTAACCCCAAAAGTGCCAAAAGGAGCTCTCTAGCGCCACCGAAACACACATGGCCACTGCAGCCCGTAGGAATGTCACAGAAAGATTAAATCAAAACTGGCTTGTTCGTCTGATCAAGACCTACAAATCATGCACCCCTGACCTAAATCCAACAGGAAGCGAGCTAGTGCCTCTGAAAGTAACATAAGCAAATGTGGAGAAATTCTCAGCTGTGAGCTAGAGTGGAGAGCGGTCTAAAATCGTATAAAACTTTTGTCTTTAACTGTCTACGTGAGCTGGAGGCCAAAACGGCGTGAATCCGAGGTCCGGCCTAACGCTGCTTGCAGCTTTAATTGTCTTTGTTTTTGTTGACGGGCAGTGGCGGCTGGTTTTGAGCCATGACTCCTTCTATTCTGGCTCCCAATAACACAACAAGACAAACACATTTTAACACTCCTGTGTAGCCTACAGCCCTGTGGGGGAGAGGCAGCTGCACCTCCAGGTCATAAAATTGTCATTTCAACATCAGCCCTTGAAATGGTCTATATTTCTTCATGTTCATGCAAAATGCCAGCTGTCTGTCTCCCACCAGATCCAGGTGGTGCGCAAAGCCGGAAACTGAAGGGCGGCAAAATTGTTCCTGAGCTGCTTTATCTGCTTTTGTAACAAAACATAATTGATTCAGTCGGACAGGAAGCAGAGTGGCTTCATTTCTCAAGTATTAGTTATTATTTATATGTCATCTCCAGGTTATCTGTTTTAAAAGATTTACTACAATGCCTCAGAATACCTTTATTGTGGAACGAAATCTCTCCTAATTTACTTTATTTCCTGTTTTTGCTTTAATGTTTGAGCTGCTTGCTTCATTTGACCGTACAGCTCTAACGCTCCCAGCTCTCTGTCCTTCTTATCTCACCCTCCTTTCTTTCTTTCCTTAATGCTCCGCCTGCAGATCTCTGGAGAGGTGAGGAAGTTAATCACCTCTTTCATGCATGTTTTATTCCTCGTACCAGTTGTTGAATGTGTTGTGATGGTTTGTCATTATGTGTAATTAAACAACGTCTGTAGCAGAGAGAACCGGGCCAGTTACTGTTCCACTGATCCCATCAGTACGACAACTGTCATGTCAGCTGTTCTGCTCTGCCTTTTCCCCTGAACGGTGTCAAACTACCATGACTGTAACTTTGAATTTGGGAGAGTTAATTGCAGTGAGACAAGGGGAGATTTCAACTGGCCCTAAGGTTGTTGCTCAAACTACATATTAAACCTCCTCATTTACAGTGATGGCACTACAGAGCCGCTACGAAGTTCCGTCTTTATGCCTCCTTTGCATTTTTACACAGACCCAAACAACAGTGGCATCCTTCCGCTCCAGACAGCACGCCGACACTGCAGAGGCAAAAGAGGCATGGCCTTTAACACAACAGCGTTGGCACTAGTGTAACATGTGACAGACGTGTCAGCAGAGAATTATAAACAATAACAATGACATCACATGTCAATAACAATCACTTACCGTCTCTGTTATATGGCGGCTGGTCTCGTCCTCTGCTTGGAGGGTAAGGAGCTCCTGGGCCTCGCTGTTTTCACGATTTGTGAACAGCTGTTCTTCTTTGAGTTAGCTGCTAACTGCTATCAGCTGCTTTTTAAATCTCCCGCAGAGGGTCATACACAAAACATGTCGTCAAAACATCGCCTGTGCCACCCATGATCCTGTCCTGCTGGCTGTCCCGTTTATACAGACATCCATTCGACTCTGTTACTACCTCCGTTGCCAGAGACAACCCTGTCCCCCCTTTCTGTGATATGCAAATGGTCATTCTGTGGATGAAGTGTGTCTTTAACATTGATCAGGAGTACGACTATGAAAACATTGTTTCTGTTGAAAAAGAGAAAGTGTGTGGCGAGCATAACACGACTCTGTTGTACTGATGGAGTTAGAGCTGTGGAAATGTATTATCAGACTATAATTACAGTGACAGATATGTCCATCCTGTCAATGCATCTTTTTTTACCCTTTATTTGAGACTCCACCCTGATTTAATGCCCAGCTTGTACATGATGATTTAAGGTGGTTCCTGACGATGTTTCTGTCTGTGTCGTCTTTCAGTGACGCAGATGAGAAGCGCTCAGACAGCCAGCCGTCTCTGTGCGGGGAGAGCAAGCTGGGCAGCGACGACTCTCTGGCTGAATACGGGGACAGCGTGGACATCCAGTTCAACGAGGACGGCTCGTTCATCGGCCAGTACAGTGGCCGGGGGCCCGTCACCCACGGCAACGAGAGCTCTGGTCCCGCCTCTCCCGTCAACGCAGTCCCGCCTCCACCCATCGCTCCATCCATGTCGAGCATCCTGAACCGGCCCAGCTAGACACACACATACACACGACAAAAATACACACACACATACACACTGCCTGCCTGCAACAAAACACAAAGGGACAGACCACTCCTGACTCCACTGCCTGTAATGTAAAATTGCCAGAACACACACACACACAAACACACACACACACGCACGCACACAAACTCACACTGTCTCAGTACATTCCACAGGTTTATGCAGTGAAGATGTTTACAGGATGTCTCACCTTTCTACTCCGAGTTTACACACACACACACACACACACGCGCGCGCGCGTGCAACACATTCAATCAGAAAGAGCTTCACTCTTCCATCAGACAGACAGACAGAGGGAGGTGGAGGACAGGAGTCAGTTGTACCAGCTGTTTAAACTTAGACAAGTTACAAACAGGGTTTCCGTTTGGTGCTGGTCGGCGTCACAGATTCACGGACACATGGGAGAAACTCTGGTCGAATATGATGATGATGTTTATTGATCNGAATTAAAGGGAGGAGTTTGACACATTTTAAAGCCATCTCAATCTGCCTGCTCTCACATCTTTTCTCTCTCTCAGTGACAGACTCAGGATGTTTGAAGGGCAGAGGCGAAAAGGAAAAGAGGGCACCTACTACATGACATGGGGCCCATTGGTGCACAAAAAAACTAAATTTGACCCCCTAAACATGCTCAAAAACTCACCAAAATTGGCACACACGTCAGGACTGGCGAAAGTTTTGATCAAATTAAAAACTTAACCCCAAAAGTGCCAAAAGGAGCTCTCTAGCGCCACCGAAACACACATGGCCACTGCAGCCCGTAGGAATGTCACAGAAAGATTAAATCAAAACTGGCTTGTTCGTCTGATCAAGACCTACAAATCATGCACCCCTGACCTAAATCCAACAGGAAGCGAGCTAGTGCCTCTGAAAGTAACATAAGCAAATGTGGAGAAATTCTCAGCTGTGAGCTAGAGTGGAGAGCGGTCTAAAATCGTATAAAACTTTTGTCTTTAACTGTCTACGTGAGCTGGAGGCCAAAACGGCGTGAATCCGAGGTCCGGCCTAACGCTGCTTGCAGCTTTAATTGTCTTTGTTTTTGTTGACGGGCAGTGGCGGCTGGTTTTGAGCCATGACTCCTTCTATTCTGGCTCCCAATAACACAACAAGACAAACACATTTTAACACTCCTGTGTAGCCTACAGCCCTGTGGGGGAGAGGCAGCTGCACCTCCAGGTCATAAAATTGTCATTTCAACATCAGCCCTTGAAATGGTCTATATTTCTTCATGTTCATGCAAAATGCCAGCTGTCTGTCTCCCACCAGATCCAGGTGGTGCGCAAAGCCGGAAACTGAAGGGCGGCAAAATTGTTCCTGAGCTGCTTTATCTGCTTTTGTAACAAAACATAATTGATTCAGTCGGACAGGAAGCAGAGTGGCTTCATTTCTCAAGTATTAGTTATTATTTATATGTCATCTCCAGGTTATCTGTTTTAAAAGATTTACTACAATGCCTCAGAATACCTTTATTGTGGAACGAAATCTCTCCTAATTTACTTTATTTCCTGTTTTTGCTTTAATGTTTGAGCTGCTTGCTTCATTTGACCGTACAGCTCTAACGCTCCCAGCTCTCTGTCCTTCTTATCTCACCCTCCTTTCTTTCTTTCCTTAATGCTCCGCCTGCAGATCTCTGGAGAGGTGAGGAAGTTAATCACCTCTTTCATGCATGTTTTATTCCTCGTACCAGTTGTTGAATGTGTTGTGATGGTTTGTCATTATGTGTAATTAAACAACGTCTGTAGCAGAGAGAACCGGGCCAGTTACTGTTCCACTGATCCCATCAGTACGACAACTGTCATGTCAGCTGTTCTGCTCTGCCTTTTCCCCTGAACGGTGTCAAACTACCATGACTGTAACTTTGAATTTGGGAGAGTTAATTGCAGTGAGACAAGGGGAGATTTCAACTGGCCCTAAGGTTGTTGCTCAAACTACATATTAAACCTCCTCATTTACAGTGATGGCACTACAGAGCCGCTACGAAGTTCCGTCTTTATGCCTCCTTTGCATTTTTACACAGACCCAAACAACAGTGGCATCCTTCCGCTCCAGACAGCACGCCGACACTGCAGAGGCAAAAGAGGCATGGCCTTTAACACAACAGCGTTGGCACTAGTGTAACATGTGACAGACGTGTCAGCAGAGAATTATAAACAATAACAATGACATCACATGTCAATAACAATCACTTACCGTCTCTGTTATATGGCGGCTGGTCTCGTCCTCTGCTTGGAGGGTAAGGAGCTCCTGGGCCTCGCTGTTTTCACGATTTGTGAACAGCTGTTCTTCTTTGAGTTAGCTGCTAACTGCTATCAGCTGCTTTTTAAATCTCCCGCAGAGGGTCATACACAAAACATGTCGTCAAAACATCGCCTGTGCCACCCATGATCCTGTCCTGCTGGCTGTCCCGTTTATACAGACATCCATTCGACTCTGTTACTACCTCCGTTGCCAGAGACAACCCTGTCCCCCCTTTCTGTGATATGCAAATGGTCATTCTGTGGATGAAGTGTGTCTTTAACATTGATCAGGAGTACGACTATGAAAACATTGTTTCTGTTGAAAAAGAGAAAGTGTGTGGCGAGCATAACACGACTCTGTTGTACTGATGGAGTTAGAGCTGTGGAAATGTATTATCAGACTATAATTACAGTGACAGATATGTCCATCCTGTCAATGCATCTTTTTTTACCCTTTATTTGAGACTCCACCCTGATTTAATGCCCAGCTTGTACATGATGATTTAAGGTGGTTCCTGACGATGTTTCTGTCTGTGTCGTCTTTCAGTGACGCAGATGAGAAGCGCTCAGACAGCCAGCCGTCTCTGTGCGGGGAGAGCAAGCTGGGCAGCGACGACTCTCTGGCTGAATACGGGGACAGCGTGGACATCCAGTTCAACGAGGACGGCTCGTTCATCGGCCAGTACAGTGGCCGGGGGCCCGTCACCCACGGCAACGAGAGCTCTGGTCCCGCCTCTCCCGTCAACGCAGTCCCGCCTCCACCCATCGCTCCATCCATGTCGAGCATCCTGAACCGGCCCAGCTAGACACACACATACACACGACAAAAATACACACACACATACACACTGCCTGCCTGCAACAAAACACAAAGGGACAGACCACTCCTGACTCCACTGCCTGTAATGTAAAATTGCCAGAACACACACACACACAAACACACACACACACGCACGCACACAAACTCACACTGTCTCAGTACATTCCACAGGTTTATGCAGTGAAGATGTTTACAGGATGTCTCACCTTTCTACTCCGAGTTTACACACACACACACACACACACGCGCGCGCGCGTGCAACACATTCAATCAGAAAGAGCTTCACTCTTCCATCAGACAGACAGACAGAGGGAGGTGGAGGACAGGAGTCAGTTGTACCAGCTGTTTAAACTTAGACAAGTTACAAACAGGGTTTCCGTTTGGTGCTGGTCGGCGTCACAGATTCACGGACACATGGGAGAAACTCTGGTCGAATATGATGATGATGTTTATTGATCTTAAAAGCAGTCGATTGGCAGGCTATATAAGAAAATGACATCATCAAGATATGTAGATTTTAGAGATGTCACGGTGGGGACATTTTCCTAGTGGGTAATAAACACCGGTGTTACAGATTATGATGGATATTTTACAATAGAAGAAATTTGTTGATGGCGCTGTGTTAAGTTACTGCTGATGCAAATGGAAAATTTATTTACTGCTGCAGCTTCTACTTGACTTTTATTATGATGGGGTCACAGGAAATGAAATGCGTTTGTCGGTGACATTAATCCTCCTGCTACCGTTTATCAAAACTACATCTACCAAAACAAGGCCAGGGTAATTTTTGGCATTTCTTCACAGCGGATATTGTAGGGAGTGATGGAACAAGAAGGAGCAGCCACGAAATGTTCCCATATTTTGCTTTTCGCTTTGAAACCAAATCCTCTGCCATTGTCTTGTCGAATAGCCTAGCCTTCATTACTCTGGGGAATTGTAAAGAAATTCCTTTAAGATTTTGGCCTAAATATTTTCAGATAAAACAAAAACGGAATAAAAAATATTTGCAAACAAACCAAAAACTACATGCCGGCCTTTCTGGCTTTTAACATCTTAATCAGCTTTTCCTGTTCTATTTCCGTTTGCTACAGGCCACATTCACAAGAATAAAAAAAAGATCATTTTTAAATAGAAGCCTATCTAGAATTTTAATTTTAGCTCATTTTAACTTTCAAATTCTGTGTAGAGGGAATTATTTTAACCCAATATTACGACCAGAGAGATTTAAATATGCCGGACTTCAACAGGAAAAAAATAACCAGATAACAGAAACTCTGGATACAACATAAGTCTTTACTAAGTTGATTAACGCAGGTTGCACCAGACAAACTAGTTCTTACGTAGAGATCAGTTGTTACGAAGTATTTACATCCAGGAACTTCTTGACGAAATGGTTAAGTAGTAGAGAACAAGCCAAACCCGACATATGAACCGTTTGGAGCGATGACACGAGCTAACTGGAAATGTGTTCAACATCAGTGGGTAAATGTGACGATGATGGAAATATTTATGTTCATAACCGGATCAGATGATGAGGATTGTGGGCCGACAGATTATGTCGGAAATCTGATGCTGCAGTCGGCTTCCTTGTTTACATTTTCAGATGCTTTCTGATTGGATGCTGCCACAGATGTTGCTCGGTAACCAATTCACACGCCTAACGTTTTTACCTGGTTGTAACTCGTCTGACTAGTTGGAGACTGGATAGCAGTGACAAACAAACAGCTGGTGCAGCTCAGTCCAGGAGAGGAAGATGATGGTTGATGTGATGAAGAGTGAGACTAAGAAAAGGGAGATTTCATCTTGTCTGACCAAAACGTCTCCCACTCATCCTGTCCAAACATTTATTCTGTTTAACTCATTTAAGTTGTTGTTTTTATGTAAACATCACCCTTTTCATTCATAGTTTTTATATTCTGTGCATCATCATCATCATCATCATCATTAAACGTCACCACTATGTGTCCTTGTTTATGCTGTTTACAAGCTATTTATTTGTGTTTGTGTGCATGCGTCTGGGGATGATCTTGCTATTTATTGATGTGTGCGCGGCCGTGAGAGCGGCTCCCAAAAACCTAAGATGCATGCCCCTCCCTGAGGCATCTGAAAATCACTCAGTTGATATTTAGTGTTTGAGTTTAGAGACTGACTGTTACTTTGTGTGTGTGTGTGTGTGTGTCTGTGTGTGTGTGTGAGTGAGTGATTGTTCGTGCTCTCAGTCGCTGCCCTGTAACCCACGGCGATTGGAGATCTGTTGCCTTAAGAGAGTCCAGTTGAGCCTCCTCTCCTCCGTCTTTCTGTCCATCCATCTGTCAATCATCCGTTTGTCCTCACACACACACACACACACACACGCACACACGCACACATGTTCCTTTTCATTCATCCTCCTGTTTGCTTGGCAGGTGAAATGCAGGATCAGGATGCTACGGTGGCCCAGAGAGCTCACAGCACCACAAACACACACAAAGAGGGAACACGATGGGAATGACTGACGAAACAGTTCAATTAACTTAATCTATATTTCACCCGCAAAAGGACCATTTTTACATCCATTACTCACCACGATGAGTTTGTGAAGAGAACGTGTTGTTTCTCACATGCCTCCATGGTGCAAAAAGAACCCAGAGGTGAACATTCTCCATGAATTTAAGAAGTCAGGATCCACTTTTAACAACTGAGAAAACACATCAAAACATCAGTTTACAAACTCTACACAAGTCATGCAGTATTATCCACGTCTCATTTATGCAATCATATGATCAGTGCTTCACAAATACGACTTTTCACTAAATCATTATCATGTGAAACACTTCCGCCTACAAGTAGGTCGCCCTGAGCATGTCTGAGCATGTGCATACACAAGAGACAGAGCAGATGACAGGCTGTTGAATTAACAGAAGGAAGAGAAGAATTAGAAATTTGTGTTGTTAATCTGGCTTGGGCCCAAAAGCTCAGGTGGGGTTTGAGCTCAGGTGTGCTGTGGACAGAAACTGTGCAGGTTCATGTGGGGTCAGGCCTGATTTTTTTTGGCCTGATCAAAGCTCTAGTTTATACTGACACATTTTATGTTTCAATGTCTTAGTGGAAACGCTTGTGTTTGTTAAGTCCTGATCATACGACTGGATCAATGAGACTTGGATTATACTGCACGTGCTATGTGAGAGTTGTACACGGATGTTTTCATATAGTTTTTATGTTGTTAAACGTTGAGTAATTGATATACAAGTTATCATTTTGCCGGTGAAGTCTTCCTTAAATATTCTGATTGCATGATTGCAATATTATATAATATTTGTACTGGTGAAATAAAAATCAGCAAAAAGAAAAAAATTAGATTAACAGCAAATATCTGCAATAATATGTTGATCTGCAATCCGAAGGTTGAAACAAACATGGTGGAATGTCAATGAAAGAAAGTCAACTTCAGTGATGTCATGCACCAAAAACCGTGGCAACAAGCAGTGTTTCCCAGCTGTGTTCAGGTGTGGCTCCTAGAAATGGTTATTTTATTTTTGTTTTTGTCTATTTACATGCGTTTTCTTAAGCTGCAGTGCATTGAGCCTTTAGGGCCACTGTAGAGTATTATTACAGACAGAAATACACACACACACGCACATCTTACACACACATGTATACTGATGCATGCATAAATTAAAGGACTATGGAAACCACATGGAGGGCCAGTCCTCTGTAGCAAAACCATTTTGGACCCTCTGAAGGAGAGAGGGAGGATGGAGGAAGAGGAGGACAGACAAACATGAGGAGGAGGAGGAGTTGACAGAAATAGAGAATCTGACGTATCGTTCTCTGAATGTAAATAGAACCTTGAGATTGTCATTTTTTTATTTCCATTGCTTCTTTTATAAGATGATCAAAATGTAATTGTTTTTTCATTATCTGTTGCTCTGTATGATTTTGTACTGCGGCGCTCCTCCGCTGACCTGCTGCAGCCTTTGTATCATACAACCCCTCCCCCACCCCACCCACCCACCCCGCCATCGTCTCCTCTTAGGTTTTCCTCTTGTGTCACCTTGTAGCTCAGAGACATTTAGAGAAGACTAGAACCATAGAATCACCCCTCCCCTTCATCCAGTTTTTTTATAGCGCTTAGAGATGCAGCAGATAATATTGATTATTAAGAAGTCACGTCATAAATGTTAACATTTATACACCTCGCCATGGCAGTGCTGTTTAAATGGGCGAGATGCAGCCTCGGGAATGGGCCGATACTGGAAATCAGTCGTAAAACTTAGAGGGTTTATTTTTGTGGCTCTGTTGTGCGAGACAAACTCAATCTGACAAATTATGTGAAGCAGGATCACCAACCAGGAATATCCTGTGTGTTTGGACCCAAACGTTTATTTTCAATGTTTGTGGAGCAGAGAGCAGCGGTAGGGACGGGCCTGATGAGTCACTTCACACACACACACACACTGAGCAGAGTTGTAGCTCTCATGTTGCTGTTTGTTTTCTATTTTTATTAATGTTAATAATCCCATGAAAAGACCAAAATCAAAGTGTTCATCTGTCTCCTTAAAACTGTCTGACTCCCTGTCTGTGGCTCACAGCTCCAAGCTCGCTGGTTCCTACTGAGGCAACGTATCCTCAAACAGTGGTTTGTATGATATCCTATGAATTAGTGCCCTACAGATGTTATGTCTTAAACATGACATCATGTAATTAATGTGAAGTTACAGAGGTTAAGTTCAGACGTGTAAAGTTACTTTGGTTAGGATTTAGGAAAAGACACAAGGTGAATACGATCCTTAAAATGACTCAAAGTTCACACCGTTCTGAACATCAGCCTCCTGGGGAAAGTCCTGTGGACCGCTCGGGACCACTCCCTTCTTTACTCCCCTCAGCGCATTATCACACGATCGCAGCCTCACAGAATATGTGGGTTATGAACAAATTACTGGCTCATGCTTACGTGGGATATGTACGAATTTCGGTGTATTACTTTTCAAAGGAAAACATATGAACGCTGCATGAGAACAGCCTTCAGACTTCAGACGTCAGTCTTTGAAAGATCCCAAGACAAAATACTTTTAATTCCAAATAATAATTTGTCTGATGTGGTTTTTCCACAAAATGGTGCTTTAACAATTTGCAAAACAGCTGACCTCATAGAACAGTTCGTATGATATCCTACCAATTAGAGCTCCATGAATAACATTGTGTCCTTAATGCAATGTTACGAAATTAACATAAAGCTACGAAGGTTAGGTTTAGGCAAGTAAAGTTACTGTGGTTAGGTTTAGGGAAAAGAAACATAGTGAGCCTTAAAATAACTTAAAGTTCACCCATTTCCAACCCGGTCTCCTGCGAAAGGTCCAGTGTATTGTCAACTATCCACCACCCCAACTGGCACTGAAATTAAAGGTGACAGAAAGTCCTTCTTAATTTTACTCCCAAACAGCTTTCGACCCTCAATGGGCAGCTCTGTTTTCCAAACTCACACTGAAACATCAAGCTGACGAGAAAGTGAGAAAAATGGTATTACAGTCTGGACACAGCGCTGAAACACAGAGACAAGAGGGAATAAAGAGGGTAATGGTCTTTTAGGGGGGAAGTTAGGTTGGTGGATGTTTCATTAAACACAGGACTTTTCCTCTGGAGTTTCCCCAGAAGCCCGAGGTTCAGAACCAAGTGAACATTGTGTCACTTTCATGTATATCGTCGCCAGGTTTCTTTTTGTAAACCTGACCACAGTAACTTTACATGATGTCCATACTGTCATTCATGGGACTCTAATTTGAAGGATCCAATGTGTGTGCACTTTCATATGATATCATACAGACCTTTGTAAGAGGATACGTTGACGGGGTCGTGATGAATAAAGGACACAATTATGCAAAATGCTTTGCTACAAATATTTTGCATCGAAGCTATTTAAACCTGCAGTGATGCAAATTTGTGACAGTTGCAACACCTGTTGAATTACAGGTTGGAAATAGATTCACTCTGGTGATTCTGAGTTCCCTCTGGTAAACGGTTACGCAGTGTATTTGTCTAAGGCTTTTATTTTGAAAGGTAGGAACGGATGGATCTGATCTGGTATGCGCTTCCGTTGTCAAGGTCAAAAGCGGTAATAAAGTTTGCCATCTTAGATCAAACTGCGGTGCCTCCGTGTGGCTCAGCGATGTGACTCTACACCTTCAGTTTACTGTCTTTGTAATTTTTGTGTCCTTTGTCAAACAATACAGGCTGCTGAGAAACATAAACGATCATCAGGAACGCCACTGTTGTGATTTTGTGACGTGACGACCGTTCCACACAACATGATTGATTGACGCCTTTATTTGTTTTTCAAAACCTTAGAAAGTTTGAAAAAGAGTTGAGTTGTTTTTCGCTGCATAAACTCCTCTCTCTGTGTGGAAGTACTCAACCAAAACAACAGTTCGAAAAATAAATTAACTGACGTATAAACCACAAGTTAAAAAAACGCCCCCGGTGCGTAAAGGCCTAAAGTTTGGGTCTCATCATAACCTCACCATGAAACATCAGAATGTTAACTGTTTTTGTCCTGTTGAAACAGAAGGATGTGAAACTCCTTCATTTGTCTCTCAGTGTAATAATCCACAGTCAAACCTCCACGTGTTGCCTTGTTAAACGTCTCCCAGGTCTCGACCCAGCTCCCGTCTGTCTCTCTGCTCCTGACGCTGACTGTACAGCCCTGCCTATCTGTCTATCTGTCTGTCTGTCTGTCTGTCTGTCTCTGTCGCAGCCTTCTTTTATACATATAAACACATTGGGAAAAAAACACAACCTAAAAAAAACTAGTAAAAAAATAAATAAAAACAAAAATTTTTAGGTATAAATAATAACAATACTGCTAATAATAACAACAACAGTGCTATTATCAGTTACAGTGACGCGGTCAGTATTGTCGTAACGATGATACGACCAGTCAGTAACACCATGAATTAATCAGTATCACAGGACCGAGCAGGGACATGGTTACACTGGAGGTGGGAGGGCGACTGTATGTGTGTGTGTGTGTGTGTGTAATGGGAGTGTCAACACTCAAACACACATACATATACAGAGGGAGGGGGGTGGGATGGGGGGAGGGGGGTGTACCGCAATATTGAGGTGTGCTGATGTTGTACCTGCTTGTTGCATTGTGCGCTGTACTGTATCTGACAAACTAACCCCAGACTGTCAACTAATAAATAAACATGGACTACGCATATCCTGAACAGACCCCAGCTGGCGCCTCGCTTCTGTTTCTGTATGTGTGTGTGAGGCATGGGGACTTAAGTTACCTTTTGGGGACTATGGTTGGATACAACATTGAAGGGACAGCACTGTTCATTCATATGAAAGTTGCTCAGTGGTGCATGAAGCCAAAATGATTCAACTGCAATGTATAGAATTACCCAGGTGATCTGCACTAGCAGCCCATAGAGCAGGCACACAAGAGACTTACGGCAGATGAGTGTCTTACTTCCGCCGCTTTAACAGCTAACTTCCAGTTTAGCACTGTGCTATGTTGAGTAGAGATAAAATCAATAAATCTTGCAGCTCTTCTAGACTCTCCAACTGTTATTGGACTGAATGGATCAAATCCTGATATTAAAATTGATAATTTTGCAGGGGTTGTGACGCCCGGGAAAAAATGTATCACTGATTTACAGATTTCCTTTTGCTAATGTAAGTAAGTGGGAAAAGGTTTTTATGGGCTGCAGGGCATCATGTGTTCTTCACTTCAGATGTGACGTTCAAGACTAGTTAATTGGCAACAGCTTATCTGAAGGCTTCTTTGCACATGATGACATACAGTACATCGGTGGGCTGTCTAGATGGAGGGCAAGCAACTGAAGACAGAGACTACCAACTCTGCACAAATGTCAGTGATCTGTGCTGTTTACAGCTGATCTAATTAATCAAATTGTCAAACGTCAATGCTAACGTAAAGCTTTGTGTTAAACACACCTGGAGTTGGATGCAGTTACAATGTGCTGTAACAACTTCTCCGTGTTTTTATGTGTGGCCCAGATTTTTAACAGCATTTCGCCAGACCTCTGGAACAGCACATAGAAAATAATAGCTAAAAAATTAGCCAATGTTAGCTAGCAACATTAGCCTGACTGTGGTGCGTCCATGTACAGAGTTGAAATATAAAAGACAGTTATACTGAAGCACATTTACACACCCGGCCAAAAACAACAACTTCTTGGTGCATCATTGTGATGCCCTGAAGCCCAAACAGACTTTTTTCTATAGACTCACATTATAAAAGAGACATCTGTAAATCTGTAAATCCCCCAAAATGACTCATTTTAATGTTAGGAATTAACCAATTTGGTTCAATAACATTCAGAAAGTCTGGAAGAGCTGCATGATTGAATTATTTTAACCCATTAAAGTTAGTGCAACAAGTAGCTGGTGGAAGTTTCTAGCTTCTGCCCTGAGCCTCACAGTGCAGAAGCAATGCTCAATCATCCACATATATAAATATATACATAGAAACACATACATGTGTGGCTCTGACATCTTCGTCCTCTTCATTTGTTACTGGACAACCAGTGGCGATTCCAAATTCATTTAAGTAACTACACCCAGTAATTCATCATTGCAAAGGTAACCACACCTCCCCCGTCACAGAGAGAGTTTAGACTTGAAGTTTTAGGTTCAGCTCAGGGTGGGGTTTGGCATTTAGTTATAATGGTAGAGGTTGCAGGACAAGTACCTCATACTTCACTTCCAGTTTAAGATATGTGAGTGTGTGTGGGAGAGGCAGGCAATGTGCGTGATAAAGGAATGCAGTGGAGCAGGAAACTTTTTTATTTTTTTTATCAGGGACCATGTACAGAGAACACTGGACTCAACAGAGTAAAGATGCACTGCACCAGATTATAGCTTTTTAGCTAGTTTCCATCTGCAGTCCCTGAGGCAGACAAAAGAAGAAATAACAAAAGAAAAATTAAAATATTACAAAGAGACAGACTGAAACGGTACAAGAAAATAGAGTGCATTGAAATCCATGGGGTGACGCACACACAACGTCCAAAGTGCGAGTGCTCACAGTTCCAGAGAAAACAGTCATACAAGGTGCACACGCCCATACAGAGCGCGCAGTGCAATGAGGCAGATAGAACACCCACATGTCTCATTTGGTCTTCATGTAATGTGTACATAAAGTACATAGTGCAAAATGAGAACAGGATATTCACAGGTGTTAAATGGTGATTAATCTACTACATAAAGTGCATGGTGCAAGATGAGAACAAGATAATCACAGGTCATATAAGCAATAGATCTACACACTGACATAGGAGACACATACAGGGTACCTATACCAATATGCAATGGAACAGTAACTCGATCGACCGCTTATGAAAAGAAAAAGAAAACAGGACAGCACACCTCGACAGCAGAGTACCTATTCAATGCTGACAGCTTTGGTTACTTAAAATAATTTTTTTTGCTTCTCTAGAGAAGAACTTTTCTCTCTCGCACAGACACACACATAAAACTCTCATTCTGCACCTGTGTGTGTTACACTGTACGACTTATACAACACGACCTCATACATTTTCCTTTCAACTGGCCTACCGGCTGATGGTTCTATTACTTTTTTCAATTTTATTTATTTCTTTATTCAAACTTTATTTAACCTGAAAAAACCCTTGAGATTAAAAGTCTTTGTTTTTCAAGAGTGTCCTATGAAGGCAGGCAGCAGCATAGGTTACAGTTAAATAAAACACACTGCAGCGTTACGCTCAAGTAGTTTCTTTCCCCTAACCTTTTCTGCTCCACCTTTCGTTTTTCAGCTCTGTTGTCCATGTGCGACAGGAAGTGACCGCCATGAGACGGCGTATCATCTCTAGTCAACAACTCTCTGTACTTCTGATCTGTAACGTTGACAGGAAGTGACCTCACGATGAGACGGCGTATCATCTCTAGTCAACAACTCTCTGTGCTTCTGATCTGTAACGTTGACAGGAAGTGACCACCATGAGACGGCGTATCATCTCTAGTCAACAACTCTCTGTACATCTGATCTTCGTTCTGATTTGCAGCTTTTCAGACTTATTTTGTGGCTGAATATAATTTGTAGCTTCTTAAAATCTGAATGAGGAGAGTGATAGTGAGATACTGGCTACAGTGATGAAACAAAACCAGCATCAGATGGACTGTATTCATAATCAATACGCACAACAATATAAATAACCAGTGCCAATTCATCAGTCAGTGAGAATGTGTGTGTGTGTGGGCGGAGCATAAGCACATACAGCCAGCAACAGCAGCGACCCACCGTCTGACACCGGCACACTGTCTGCGGTCATTTTGACTTGACCAGCAGACTTCACTACAAGCTGATTGGCTGTTGAAACAGGTGACCTGCTTTAAAACCAGCCACCAGCCATTTGACCAGCTGAGTGTCAGGTGACACCATCAGACGGCTTGAGTTGAGCTCAGACTGACCAGTTCAAATTGCTGCAACTTTTCTCTGCAACGTTCTAAATCGGTTTTGTCTCATTGTGAATTTTTGGTCTGAGCTGGGCTTAAAAATGCAGTTTATGTGATTACATTGAAGGACTGCTGTAAAGTCTATGTGGGGGGAGACCAGACATAAAATAAGTCTTTTGACCCCAGTCTAACCTAAACTTAATGTAACCTGAACCTTAAAACCAAATCTTAACCTGCAAACAGGCCCAAATGTCCTCATTTTTCAAACATGTCCTCACTGTGTTGTTAAAATAGTTTTTGGTCCCCACTACGTACCAAGTACAAGTGTATGAACACACATGCACACACACACACACACACACACACACACACAGTGAGTGAGCGCGCAGCATCAGTGCTCCCGAGGACAGAGGAGGCGTGACGGATAATGGGAACTATTATTTGTACAGAGACTAGTTGGAGCTGTTTGTTGTCACGCAGGAAGGAGGCGAGAGGGTTGGTAACCAGGGGTTAAACCCGTAGGACTAGTTCCCTGACGCAGACGGTGTGTGTGTGTGTGTGTGTGTGAGAGAGAGAGAGAGAGAGAGAGAGAGAGAGAGCGAGAGAGAGAGAGAGACAGTGTGACCGGAGGAATACTAAACAGGAGGCAGTGCACTGAGGACAAGGACCAACATTTTAAGAACCGACCGACTATCATCACACAGCAGCGGAGCGGAGGCAGGGACACACAGTCTGCCCGGGCTATATGCACACACACACACACACACACACACACACACACACACAAACCCCCCACACACACAGACATACACACATTCCGCCAGGAATAGATTTGGAGGATGAACGGAGCGGCGATTACGCAAGACGGGATCGAGCCGAAGGGGGGCGCGCGGAGGACGCTCCGGTTCCAGCGGCCGCACGGTGAGTGACACACACACACACACACACACACACACACACAGAGGTGCATGTCCATTTTAAACTCAGTTATGTAACACAAACACACACTTCCTTCCTCTTTATTTCATTCATTCAGAGACCGTGTGCGTGACGCAAACTGTTGATCACTCTCATTGATCATCAAGCGGAGCGCGTGTCACTCATCACCGCCCCACCAGCGGGGCTGACGCTACAGAAAAACAAATGAACCCACTCCACGTTTGAATCAGACACTTGAGCCACACGTGCGCTCCCACGCGCTCTGCACAGCCCGCACAAGCACTGTCGCACCCTTATGTAAGTAATGTGGGTTTTTGCGGTAGCCTATGAGATTTTGGGAGCTGCCCAACATATTGAACAGCGCGTGCAGCTTGTGTCTGCCCGGAAGCAGCAGCAGCAGCAGCAGCGTGCAGAGCGGACGTGGTGCGTCGGGGTGTTGGTTGTCCTCCCCGCGGTCAGTCTGTCCGTCAGCAGAGCGCCGCAGAGAGCTGCGCGCGACAGGACGTATGGCTGCCCCGCGGGGGTGTCACAGGCGTTTATTTTGGGAGAGAGGGGTTGTCGTGTGACGCGGAGCGACCCGCGTGTCTTCTGAGTGTCCGCGTGAAGGAACTAATGGAGACCAAGAAGAGCGTGCCAGCGGTGCAGCGGCTGCGCGTGCGGTGTGACAGCACAGGTGAGTCTGAATCAGCAGCAAATAAACAACCTAAGGTCGACCTCTGTCTCACACACACGCACCCAACCACACACCCACACACACACACACACACACACACACACACACACACACACACACACACGTGATCATTATGTTAGATACAAGAATGTCCCATGGGGACCATCTATCTATCTATCTATCTATCTATCTATCTATCTATCTATCTATCAATAACTGCATGCAGCGCTGCATGAGGTGACTCAGTAGGCTAATGGGACATTTTTTGGTGGGAAAAATCTCTGCTTCCTGTGAGGTGAAGAATTCATTCAGTAGCAGTAGAAATCCTTCAGTGTAACAGTGCTGTGCTGCAGGTACGAGGTCCTGCCTGCACTCAGCATCGGGCCAAAGTCAATTCTGAGTAAGTTGTCCTTGAACATTCTGTTATGTGGCAGCATGCTGGTACAGTGGGTAAAACTGTCGCCTCATAGAAGGAGAGTTCAGAGGTTTGAATCCTGCGGCTGATCCCTTCTATAGACTCTTTCAGGGCCGACGTCATGATGATGTCATTTTATCAGCTGGAGGCAAAAGCTACCTCTCCGCCACAGGGCTGGAGGCTACATAGGAGTCTTAAAATGGCTCTTGTTGTGTTACAAACCCCTTTAATTGTAAGTAAACAGTACCACAGGTTGTTGTTTTTTTGGTGGGCGGAGCTTAGCTGGAGGCAAAACAATCCTCCACAGACATCAGCTCACATAATCAGATAACATGTTGCCTGGTTTCCTCTCACGGCCCAAAGACACGCAGGTTAGGTTTTTTGACCCAACTGTTCCACTGCTTCTTCCATAGCTGTAAGTTACTCCAGTAGCTGGTGGCAGCCGACTCGGCTAGAGCCATCGCCGGATCCCGGCTAGTGCTAACACCGGGAGCTAACGCTAACATTCCTACTCTTCTCCGTGAATGAGAGCAAAGTTTTAGCCGGGCTACATTTTACAATGCTAATTGCAAATGTTAGCTGGGCTGCCGGGCTACTCACCTAACACAACTGTAACGCCGGACCCACTGCTGCGACCGAGCTGCTAATAACTCAAGCTCCGGACATTAACCCATGCTACGATTGTAACATTAAATTTAATTGAATCGACATAGCGACATGTGCCTAACATTACTGTAACACTAATTAAAACAGACATCTGACTTTATGTTGTACCTGTCCAGGAGAAGAAGAGCTAGCTCCGAGTCAGATTGGAGCCCCTTTAGCTCTCGCAGTGCTCTCCACCTTGGAAATGCAAGGCCAGTGTTAATCCGGGTTCTGTCCCTTTCTTTATCCGACAACTCCTTTGCAACCGTCTTTAGAGGTAATGTCAGATCCTGGTCGTCTTCAGGTGAACGTTTCGTTCCGCTCTCCGCCTTTTCACTTCGAAAATACGCGCTGCCGTTGCTCACTGGCTGTAGCCTTTTATAGGGAGGGAGGGCCAAGGGCTCCGAGAGGAGAGAGGAGGCGGCGATTCACATGAACGTACATGAACGCGCAGCCGGACCCGCTTGTAAATAATGGGCTGGAGATCAACACAGAGAGAGTGTGTGTGACGTCCTGCTATACTCCAGATGAAATTACACCTCTAGTTCTTCACATAGCAATTTTTTTAATTCCTTCAATCTAGAAATGATGAATTTCCGCTTATTGCCCCTTTAATGGGAGAGGTTACAATCGGCATTCACTTCCAGTTCAAGTGACTCTGCAGTAGTCATGGGTATTGAGTGGCTTTGTTTGCATAAATCAGGAAATTCTTAAAATCTTAATGACTGCAATTGCAAAGTATTCCGTGTGTGACCCCCTACAGAGGTCCAGGTTAAGCACCCTATATTGGCTAAGCCTAAACTTAAAGGCTGCATGACAGGCTGCTTACTAATTGACAGGCTCGGCTGACGTAACCGACTGCTGTTGATCAAGTGAAAACAAAGAGTCCCACTTCTCCCTCTTCTTTGATGCATAATTTATTTCTCACCGCTGTAGTCTTCGATGAAAAACATGCAAGCATTGTTAAATCTGTGTCCATAAACTATTCAGAGGAATAATATTTCACCGTTACATTCAGCACCTGGCTTGACATGATCCAGCGTAGCGATTAAAAAAACTGTACGTGCTTCTCCATCTAGCAGCACATGTCCCTGAGTGAATGGTTACTGCCTATATTGACAGACACCCGTGACAGAACAGTGACCCCTACAGGACAAAATAGCATCCCACACCTTCATTTTACACCAGGGATGGCCCCTATAGAGCTCGTAAGCTGCGTGTTTCCGTTTCCGGTACATGGGACCTTAAAAATCGATTTCTCATAATGTATTTCAATGGCTAAATGAAAATTATTTTCTGGTCCCGTTTGAATTATGCCATGAATTTCACATATGTTGTTTGTGAATTTATAATATATTTTTTCGTGTACAGAAGGCTACAGTTTAGCGGGAAGAAGTTTGATACTGTTAGGTTTTGTGTGAGCGGGCTTTGTGGACTACAGCTCTTCGCTGCTCTCGACGCGTATGATATACGTCACCACTCGCACTCGGAACATGGCTGTGTCTCTGGTACACTTCACCACCTTCTTCCAAGGAGAGGACAAAAGCCTTAAGCGTGGCGAAAACCACTACAAGTCTGGACGTGGAAAGTTTCAGCCACGAAACACAGCGGCATCTTGATCTGATGGCTCCGTAGATCGTGGCAGAAGACGCAGCAGCAGCACCGTGAGTTGAGAAGTGGAGGGAAAGTGTGATGACATGACGTCACATAGGCGACATGTAGTCTTTCTCATTACGTTGTTTCCACAGCCTTTAACTGAAGAATCATACAATAAACTGTCAAACTCTTCACATGAAAAAATATTATTTAGACCCACACAAAACATTTGTGTAATCCAAGGCATTTAATGACTGGAACCAGAAAATAATAATTTTCTCTCCATTGACTCCCATTCATATTTTCCCGAGCCTAGAGGTCCGATGGGGTCTACCGGAAGGGGCGTGACTTACAAGCTCTATACCCCCAAGTCCTAGTAATGCCGCTGTGGGTATTTATTGACTCCAGCTACTATGGACTCAGATTGGCAGAGATGGAAATACAACACCTGAGTAGACGTGCTAATTTTAGCCCCTTAACCGGCAAGATGCAGTGATGGGTCACTACAAAATACAGCCAGTCCCTTCCCCTAGCAGCACTTGGGATTGATAGAATTTTATTGATATCAAGGCCATTATTGATTCCCTTATCGATTCCTCCTGTGAATTTTCTGTGGAGAAAAAGTAGACCTTGCAGGTTTTCGGTGTCAACAACACAAATTTGATTGAGTTTCTATTCTAAACAAGAGATAAGTGCTTGTGTAAGTAAACAAATACGAAACTGGTCACTGGATCCTTGATCTCTGGACCTACCAGAATGCTGGCTCCTCCACTGTGGAGAAAGGGTGCAAACCTTTCACAATAAATTTTGTTAGTGCTTGATGACACTCATCTAACTTGTCTTGAGGCATTTTGCCATTTGCAGCAAGTGTGAATGGGGTGTGCTGCCTAAACGGAGGGGGAGGGGGGCTGGGACGTGGAGCTGGTGGAGCAACACTGCAGGCAGCAGAAATACTCGGTCCACTGCTATCATCTAAAATGGAACAAATGAAAGAATATTTGTGCAGCATTTGTTTTCATCTACGTCAAATAACGTTACAGAATCTGTCACTGAATGCGTTGTGCTATCGTTAACATGGGACAGGACATACGTACCGTCACTGGCACTGCCAGAGATTGTCGAACACATGGCACCTTTTAAGGTCCTCACCAAGAAAAAAGCTATGGAAAAATTATTTCTTTGCATTTTTTATGTTATTGGGGCACTAATAACAAGAATCAGTTATTATTATTTTTACAGACCCCACAGTTTTTTAATTACACACCTCTACCAAATGGTTGAGAGGTCGCTTAATGGTAAAAGTACCTAATACATTATTATAAATGTATAATAACAATAATATGATAATTTTAAACCTACAAATACATACAGAAAGTAGAAAAGGTCAAATAACTGTAAAACAAGTCAATTTTATTAATATAGTGCAGTACATACACTTCTCAACTGTGCTGTGTAAAGTAACAAAACAATTCTAGTACTTTCAATAAACAGTACTTTCTTATTTATTTCCCCCTCTCAAGTTAACAAACAAAGAATGACCCATGGGACCATGTTCAACTTCTCAGCTGTACGACATAAGAGCTTGAATCTCTTCTTCAACATGGTATCAGCTATCACATCAAAATGTGATTCGAGGTCCCAGTAGTCATCGAT